TTTTTTTTTTACTCTTTTGTGTGAGAGAAAAAGAGAGGGTAAAGTGGAGGATAGTTATTGGGAAGGCTCAACGGGAAATTTACTATAGAAATTCCAGTTCCAATATGCCACTACATATAGATTGCCACAGGAGGCAAATACATCCTGGAAGCCACTGAAGAGAAGGGGGTGTTAGGTTTAAGATAAAAAGGAACAGAAATAAATTTCCCTGGTTAACTGGTTAAACATTTAAGCTGCTGTTGTGCTCACTGCAATTTGTAAGCCAAATTTTTTGGTTCTTTTTCTAGTAGAAGGAAATGATGGAAGGAGAGATGCAATACATTCAAGAAGAAATTCTATGGCATCACTGTTAATTGAATTACACATTTACTTTATGAAAAGTTAAAGCTGAACAAAAAAAAGGAAGTTTGCAGAAATGAATCCTATTTTTAAGCTGCAAAAATGAATCCTGCTCCTCAATCAATTGTTTTGAGAAAGTAAATTGTATGTAGACCTACCTTAAAAGCATTGGAAATTGTGGATGTCATATAATCAAGAGCAAAACCACCTGATAGTGATCCCAATATTCCGCAAACTACTGTAATCGCTCCAAAAGTATAATCCGCATTTTTCTGGAAAAGAACAGTTTTCAATTTTTAGATTACGTCAAAGTCCAATTTCAACGGACTAGAAGATGGAGAATCGAGTAGTAAATTTTTTTGAATGCCACTAAGAGCTTACCATGTGATATATATTATAACCCGCCTTGGGTCCCCAATAGGAATATGCACCTACGACGAAATTATAGGCAATATAACCTGCAATGGCCAGATATATTAAAAAGTCAAATTGTTTGATTAATAGCCAGTAAAACACGCTTATTTTAGTGGTTACATCCACGACATGCAGAAGCAGATTTTCCATCAAGTTAGTTAACCATTATCTTGACACTTCTAGCTAGTTGTTCAACAAAAAGCATGTTGGTTTAAGATTAAAAGATACTTTTCTAGAAAGTATCTTAAGATGTAATTTCTAGAAAAGTATTCTTGAAATTATGCTGGGAAAAGAGAAGCTTAAAGCAAATTTTACTTCTTTAAAGAAGAGCCAAACATACTTGAAAGGCCAGAAAGTAGAGGAGATGTTCAACACTCCTGATAATATTCATAGGACGAAACTAATGTATGAGTTTTGTAGTTCTGGCAGAGTGAAGGACATACCTAAAACATTCACAACAAAAACTTTATTGAGCAAAAGAATCTTCATATCCTTCAAAAATCTTATGACGATACATGCATCACTTGCATCCATTGACCTGAAAAAGATGTAAGATTTGCTATTTAAAAAATCCATTGAACTCTGGAAAAGAACACACATGATATCAGCCATACACCCTACTACATAGACAAGATATTTAGCTGGGAAGATCCGAACTGCAATCTCTAGAATCTCAAATATTGTAAAATGAGCTCTCGCCTTAAAGGTTTTGAACTTTGATCAGCAACCGCTTCTCTTGTGGACAGTTCACCTCCTTCACCATTCAAAATTACTCTGTTATTAATTAATATGACACGCACAAGATATATCTTTTAAAATAATAAAACTACAAGAAGAATAGAAAAATAATAAGCAGAGAGATCCTCAAAAGACTGGCCCTGCTAAAACATGGTGCGTGCATACAGTAAGCCTCATATTTGTTATTCATTTTGTCAAAGAAGTTATATTCGACTGTTGACATCTCGCTGTGACTTTTGACCATTAGAATATGCTGAAAACTAACCTTTTGTCAAATTCTTCAAACAAATTCCACTCAAACACATGACATCAATATTCCTCTAAAAGCAACCCATTTACTAACACATAAGAATCAAATTGTACATCTAGTAATTGATACATCTGTAATAAATATCAAAACTGTCCCATTTTGCAATTATTACACAAACAAATGATTGATAAAGTGCTTTCCAAGCAGTTTTAGTTTTTGTTAATAGTAAGATCCAGCACCTTGATTTTCTGACCCATCTTCTGCAGATACCAATGCCTTTTTAAATCCAACAGGAGAGAAAC